ATTATTAGATTGCTTATCGTTCGTTGATATGAGATGTTTTAGGTGATTAAGGACTGGTAGTAGCATTTTCCCATAATGTTACGAGTAAAGCTGACTGCAGTTTCTACCTCGTCTCGGTCTTATCAGCACCACCAGCAAGACTCGAACCATGACAATGCAGCATGCGAGCTTGACACGTCAACCATTCAGCTGCATTGCCACGAGTCACCTTGGGCAACAGGGCAAAGCTATGTGAAATTCAATGGAGACGTCCGGTCTACTCATAGCATTGTGGGAAAATTCCACTACCAGTCCTTTATTGACAGTCTCGAATAGCTACTTACAAATGAAAAATAAGTAATGTGCTCGATTGCTATAGCAAATACAATTTTGCCTCATCATTCAAATCCACTCTGTGACCCAAGGACGCTCGTGGCAATAGGGTGTAGTGGTTAACGTGTCGTCAGGGTTCGAGTCCCGCCGAGTGAGCTGTTGAGATGGAAAGTACTGGCGAGACGGAAGGTGCAATCCACCCCAGTCGGGATGAAAAGGCAAGGCTATGTGAAATTTATTGGAAACGTATGATTTACTCATTTGATTGTGGGAAAATTCATTTACCAATCCTTCATTACCTTAAAGGAAATAGGGTGAATAGAGCTCTTTATCTGCTCTACTAAGACCTACTTATAAACAGAAAATTAAACCCTCAGGCCTTGCGCCAAACTCGTGGTCTGGGGATAAAGTTAGGCTGACAAACTGCACAACGATGGAAAAATCTACTCAAATTCAATCTTATGTTACATTTTAGCATGTATCATCAGCGTCATGGGAAGCAGCAGGTACAGAGAGTGTGTTGCATACTTTTCACTTCAACTTAGGGCATATTGCGAATTTATGCGAAAAATAACTTGGCTTCGATAACAGATGCATTGTTGGGGGACTGTAATTTGGTATGAAAGGGAATGATGAAGAGATTCGAAGGTAGATCTCACCAGAAGCCGACAGCTGATTCACTTTGTACTGCCGCTGTTTGGCATTACTACAACGTTCAGATTGACGCAGTCGACGAGACATTTTGGGTGTAAACGGGCTGAACTTCCGTTCATCATATGATGGGTATCATCAAGCTGAAACTCATTTTTGTCAAAATCCTACGATAAGACTAGGCCAATAAAATTAATCTTGAAATCTTTTCTTCATACACTCTTATGCTGAATGAAAATCTTCACACTATTAGTATCAGTAATAATAATATCAAATATGTTTCTAGCAGATTTGCAGTTACCCGCGGGATTCGAGCCTGGTTCGTGAGTACCCCGGCGACACTACCACTCCTCCGCATAACCACAAAATTGGCGCAACAGAAGCGTCGCCATGCAACTCACGCCTAGAATCCGAGGGCCGTTGCGGCTGCCGAGGGGTCCAAGTTCTTATCCATAAAGAACTGATGGTGCCAAAACTTGGAGGAAAGTTGTAAATTAGTCTCACCGGAAGCAAAGGAGGCTTGTCCTGGAAGTATGAAAACGGTTGGATTGTGCGATAAGTCTCCGGCTCATAGTCCTACCACCTCGAACTAACAATTGATGTCACCACAAATCACCGAATAGTTCTTTAAAACCCAGATGTTCCCGTATATGCAAAGAAATGACACTGCCTGAAAACGGGTTAAAAAACCTTTGTCGTGGTTGATGCGAACTGTAAAATCGAGAAGTTGCGAGCCCACGAAAGGGGGGAAGACTGAGTTTGCGGTAAACGTGAACTAATTGTTGGGATAACTTCCATTTCGAGTAGAAGTGTTGGGTGAAGAGATTCGAAGGTCGGTTCCACCAGAAG